CAGTGTCACCATGGTGACACTGTATTACTTGTGGGGGGTGATGAAGATTTTTTTTTTTTGTGTACACCGATTGCTTTTACACCCATAAAGGCTGTAAAAGCAATAATTTCTCCTTCTCTCTAGCTGCATTCTTGCAGCCCTTGAGAACTATTGTGTGAGCTGTGATTGGTCACAGCTTGTCGCATGGTACAAGGCTGTTGTGAATAGCCTTGTACCGTGTGACCTCTGTGATCATTCACAGATTTCACACGTAGTAAGCAATGATGTCACAAGTGACATCATTGCTTACTACTCTGCATGTGATCACTGATTGGCCAATCAGTGACCACATGATCAGGACCTCACACAGAGGTCCCTTCAGACGATCGGTGTTCCACTGTGTCCGGAGGACACAGCGGGCACCGGATCGCGGTGCTGCGCGCTCCCAGGGAGCGCGCACAAGCAGGTTGCGGAGAGGCCGTTTATAAACGGCCACCCGACCCTGCAGTGCCACCGTCCAGCCGTTTATATACATGGGTCGGACGGGAGGTGGTTAAATACAATGTGCTATAATGCATGTGTTTATATAATTTGATATATCTCAAGTGGTCAATTTTGGGAAAATGTGTAAGCGAGAGTGTACTGTAAGTATATATTCATACACTGATCATCCATAATTGTATGACCACTGACAGGTAAAGTGAATAACCTTGATCATCTCATTACAATGGCACCTGAAAGTGGGTGGGATATATAAGGCAGCATTGACCATGTTGTCACTGAAGTTGATGCTTTGAAATCAGAAAACGAAAAAAAAAAAAACCTGGCAAGCAAAAGCACATCAGCAACTTTGACCAGAGCCAAATTGTAATGGCTAGACAACATGTTGACAGCATCTCTGAAACGGCAGCTTTTGTGGCATGTTCCCGGTCTGCAGTGATCAGGACCTCCCAAAAGTGGTCCAAGGAAGGAAAACCAGCAAAATGGTCATGAGTGGCCAAGGCTCATCAATACATGTGGTGAATGAAGGCTAGCCTGTGTATACAGATCCAAAAGATGAGCTACTGTAGCTCAAATTGCTAAAAAACATAATACTGACTCTTATAAAAAGGTGTCAGAACACACAGTGCATCACAGTTTGCTGTGCATGGGCTGCGTAGCCACACACCAGAGAGGGTGCCCAAGTCCACCCATGTCCACAGCCAAAAGCACCTACAATGGGCACATGAACATTAGAACTGGACCACGAAGCAATGGAAGAAGGTGACCAGGTCTGATGAATTTAAAAATGGCTTGAAGAACACATCAATGAGTTTGAGGTGTTGATTAGTGTATAATTGTTCAGATCTCCATCCAATCAAGCATTCGCTGGATGTGTTGGACAAACAAGTCTCATCCATGGAGTCTTCACATTGCAACTCACAGCACATAAAGGATCTGCTACTGATGGCTTGGTACCAGATACCACAGCACACTTTCAGAGGTCTAGTGGTGTTCATGCCTCGACAGGGTTATGTTGGGTGGTCATAATGTTATGGCTTAACAGTGTATATTAGCAGCCGTAAAACATGCATGAATAACCAAAGACAGCCAAAGCAAGTGTTTTCTGCACTTTTAATTAGCATGGCAGCAGCTTTCAATCCAGGAGGGCTTTGCACAGCAAGACCATAGCATGAAACAAAACATTTGCTTGTCCAATACACACAGGCAGTTCTGGTACCTTAGTGTTCAGTCAGACTCTTCACAAAGCAGCGGATTCCGATAGGAGAGAGTGAAAGAAAAAGAGAGCCCTGCATCAGTCAGTTCTCAGATGTATGGGCATGTAGACAGCTGAGAATAATAATAAGTTCTGGCTACCAGGCAAAATGTGGACCTAGAAATGAGGGCTTTATCCCATCCAAAGCTCTACAAAGCCTCCAGGCTCCAGGACCCCTAAGAGAATTTATTAAAATTCCACATCAACAATAAACCTGGAGCCCCTTTCATGTGTATGTGAGAAACATTGGTGACACATACATACTGTTCACAACCTTGCCAGCCAGCGACTCAGTACTGTATAGCTAGAGGTGAAAATGAAATGAAAATTCTGGTGCTGAAACCAAAAATTCAGGATGCACTTTACCGAAATGGACAGTTTTTTTAAAAATCAATTTTTTAGAAAAAAAAAAAAGTACACTTTAATGAAAAAAAAAGCCAAATACAGTCAGGTCCATAAACATTGGGACATCGACACAATTCTAACATTTATGGCTCTATATACCACCACAATGGATTTGAAATGAAACGAACAAGATGTTTAACTGCAGACTGTCAGCTTTAATTTGAGGGTATTTACATCCAAATCAGGTGAACGGTGTAGGAATTACAACAGTTTGCATATGTGCCTCCCACTTGTTAAGGGACCAAAAGTAATGGGACAGAATAATAATAAATCAAACTTTCACTTTTTAATACTTGGTTGCAAATCCTTTGCAGTCAATTACAGCCTGAAGTCTGGAATGCATAGACATCACTAGGCGCTGGGTTTCATCCCTGGTGATGCTCTGCCAGGCCTCTACTGCAACTGTCTTCAGTTCCTGCTTGTTCTTGGGGCATTTTCTCTTCAGTTTTGTCTTCAGCAAGTGAAATGCATGCTCAATCGGATTCAGGTCAGGTGATTGACTTGGCCATTGCATAACATTCCACTTCTTTCCCTTAAAAAACTCTTTGGTTGCTTTTGCAGTATGCTTTGGGTCATTGTCCATCTGCACCGTGAAGCGGCGTAAAATGAGTTCTGAAGCATTTGGCTGAATAGGAGCAGATAATATTGCCCGAAACCCTTCAGAATTCATCCTGCTGCTTTTGTCAGCAGTCACATCATCAATAAAAACAAGAGAAGCAGTTCCATTGGCAGCCATACATGCCCACGCCATGACACTACCACCACCATGCTTCACTCATGAGGTGGTATGCTTAGGATCATGAGCAGTTCCTTTCCTTCTCCATACTCTTCTCTTCCCATCACTCTGGTACAAGTTGATCTTGGTCTCATCTGTCCATAGGATGTTGTTCCAGAACTGTGAAGGCTTTTTTAGATGTCGTTTGGCAAACTCTAATCTGCCTTCCTGTTTTTGAGGCTCACCAATGGTTTACATCTTGTGGTGAACCCTCTGTATTCACTCTGGTGAAGTCTTCTCTTGATTGTTGACTTTGACACAACATACACTTACCTCCTGGAGAGTGTTCTTGATCTGGCCAACTGTTGTGAAGGGTGTTTTCTTCACCAGGGAAAGAATTCTTCGGTCATCCACCACAGTTGTTTTCCGTGGTCTTCCGGGTCTTTTGGAGTTGCTGAGCTTATCGGTGCGTTCCTTCTTATTAAGAATGTTACAAACAGTTGTTTTGGCCACGCCTAATGTTTTTGCTATCTCTCTGATGGGTTTGTTTTGTTTTTTCAGCCTAATGATGGCTTGCTTCGCTGATAGTGACAGCTCTTTGGATCTCATCTTGAGAGTTGACAGCAACAGATTCCAAATGCAAATAGCACACTTCAAATGAACTCTGGACCTTTTATCTGCTCATTGTAATTGGGATAATGAGGGAAAACACACACCTGGCCATGGAACAGCTGAGAAGCCAATTGTCCCATTACTTTTGGTCCCTTAACAAGTGGGAGGCACATATGCAAACTGTTGTAATTCCTACACCGTTCACCTGATTTGGATGTAAATACCCTCAAATTAAAGCTGACAGTCTGCAGTTAAAGCACATCTTGTTTGTTTCATTTCAAACCCATTGTGGTGGTTTATAGAGCCAAAAATAGAATTGTGTTGATGTCCCAATATTTATGGACCTGACTGTATATGCCCCAATTTTTTGTAAAATATGAGAAACGATGTTACGCCGAGTATATAGCTACCCAACATTTCATGCTTTAAAATTAAACACGCTCGTGGAATGGTACCAAACTATGGTACTTAAAAATCTCCATGGGTGATTTTTACAAGTTTCCAGTTTAACGTTACAGAGTAGGTCTAGTGCTAGAAATATTGCTCTTGCTCTGATGTTTGCGGCGATACCATACATGTGTGCTTTGAACACCATTTAGATATGCGTGGCCTACGCATGCATTCACCACTGCGTTTGAGCACAGGGGGATGGGGGCACTTTAAACATTTTTGTTTTTTATTATAATTTTTTTTTCTTTAATCAATTTTATTCCTATCACAAGGAATGCAAACATCCCTTGTGATAGAAATAAGCAGTAACAGTTCCTCTTTACGGAGAGATATGGGGTCAATAAGACCCCACATCTCTCCTCTTCAATGTAAAGCATTAGACAAAAAAAGGAAAAAAAAAAAAAAAAAAAAAAAAAAGCATTGATCTAGTGCAGCCTTTCTCAACCTTTTCAACGCAGAGGAACCCTTGACCAAACCTTCCGGTATCAGGCAGCCCCTGCTCAAAAATGACTATCTACAATTCATGATACATTAGTGTGATGGTCAGTGGGAAGAATGCTCCTTACACTTGTGGTCATTGGGAAGAATTACCCCCTTACTGATAGCTAAAAAGATCAATGGTGTCAGTGTGAACTTACATGAGAGGCAAAAATTGCTCAAGGAACCCCTGGCAACCTCTGGAGGAACCCTGATCTAGTGCTTTAAAAAAAAAGAAAAAACAACAAAAAAAAGCCTTGTTTACAAGGCGCCAGAAGTGACGTAATGAAGTCGCTCCGGTCCTCCAAGGGCATAGGGATGAGTGGAGGCCATCTTTCCTTCACTGATCTGTGTGTCCAGTGCTGGGATCATTGGAAGGGTTCTTAGGTAAGGCTGAGAACAACCGGGCGGCAGCGGGGCTATTTTCGGCACCTGTATTGGTGCTTATTTTCATATCAGCCAATAGGGGTATTTTCGGCTGAAACGTTTCAGCCACCGAAATGTTGCTGCATCCCTACTGATAGCTGACATTCTAAGCAAGCTGCTTATTGATGCTTTAAATTAATGCTCTGCACTTAACATTAAAAAAGCAAAACAAAAACATACCTCATATACATGAAACACTTTAGCACCAACATAAATACCCATGCGAGTAACAGCACGAACTGCAGCATTCATTCCTGAAATATAAAATACAATGATAACAATTCAGTTAATTCAAGTCATTCACTGCTTTGAACTAGGCCACTTTACTACTGAGAACCTATAGAGTGTACTACAGGAGAGAATGATGCAGAAGTATGGCATAAGGTTAGTTGTGCAACGAAATGAAAATTCTGGTGCCCAAATCGATACCGAAAATTCAGAATGCATGTGGCCAAAAACCGAACAGAAACGTCTGTGTATATGGGGGTGGGGAGGCTAACTTTTTTTTTATTTTTATTGTCAAAGTTATAGCATCTACAAACTATGGTATAGATAATGAAATTTACACAGCTTTTACTTTCTGACTGCCCATCACATTTCTTAAAGGTGCTAAAATACCAGGATAGTACAAACACCCCCAAATGACCCCTTTTCTGAAAGTAGACACCCTAAGCTATCTGCTGAGAGGCATATTGGAGTCCATGGAAGATTTATTTATTTTCCACAAATTTTTGGAAAATGACAAAACACATTTTTTACTTTACACAAAGTTGTCACTTGTATGATATATTGCTCACACAAAGCCATGGGTATATGTGGAATTAATTATGTGGAGTACCACATTTGTGAGACTTTTCGGGAGCCTAGCCACATACAGGAGCCTGAAATCCAATGACCACTTTGAAAGCCTGAAGGTGTGTAACTTCCTCATTTCACTTCCTCACTACCTATCACAGTTTCGGAGGCCCTGGAATGCCAGGATAGCTCCAACCCCCCCCCCCCCCCACGCCCAAATGACCTCCTTATGTAAAGTAGACACCCTAAGAATTTAAAAAGGAGGCATGGTGAGTATTTTGAAGATCTATTTTTTTCTCACAAGGTTTTGAAAAAGAAAAGAATGTATATTTTTGTTTTTTCTTCTTCATTTTTCAAAAACTTGTGGCAATAAATGAGATCTGAAAAATACTCACCATTCTTCTTATCAAATTCCTTGGGGTGTCTACTTTCCAAAGAGGGGTCATTTGGGGGGGGGTTGGAGCTATCCTGGTATTTTAGGGCCTCCGAAACTGTGATAGGTAGTCTGGAAGTGTAATGAGGAAATAAAGCCCTTTAAAAGCCTGAAGGTGCCGATTGGATTTCGGGGCCCTGTACTTGGCTAGACTGCCAAAACGCCTCTCACATGTGGTACCCCCATACTCGGGAGAAGTAGCAGAATGTATTTTGGACAGTAATTCCACATATACCCATGGCATGTGTGAGCAATAAATCAATTAAGTGACAATTTTGTGTAAAAAAACTATTTTTTTGTCATTTTTCAGAAACTTGTGCTAAAAAATAAATTCTTCTATTGACTCAACATGCCTCTCAGTAAATAGTTTGGGGTGTCTACTTTCCAAAGAGTAGTCATAGGGGGGTGGGGGCATTCTATGCCCAGTATTAGAAGTTTATGCCACACATCACTCACTCTTCTAACCACCTGAAGATCAAGCCTTCTCTGACACTTTTTGTTCACATGAAAAAAATCTGTATTTTTTGCTAGGAAATTAATTTAAACCCCCAAACAGTATATATTTTTTAAAGCAGGACACAATTTTTTATGTCTATTTTTTCAAACGAAATAAAAAAAAAAATACTTGGGTACAACAATTTTTTATGTCACAAATAGTACCGAGTCCAAACATGCATGCGCGCATGCCCTGTGCAATGGCGACAAACTGCATAAATTTTTAATATCCATAGGCAATGCTTTAAAAGCCTTTACAAGCTACCATTCTAGATTTACTGAGGAGGTTAGTGTTAGAATTACTGCCCTTTATCTGACATTTCCGGCGATACCTCACATGCATTGTGCAACCGCTGTTTACATACTGGCACAGGGTCTACGCTCGCGCACGCAAGGGGGGGTGCTTTTTTTTTTTTTTTTTAAATCACTTTTAATGCTATCACAGGGAGTGCAAATACCACCTATAACTTCAATGGGCGTTGTCTTATATTCTTTTTTGAGAAATCTGGGGTCAGATTCTAGATATCTCCTCTGTCCTTACATTATCTAATCTCACCAAGATCTGTGTGATCAGATGCTTTCCCAATTTACAAATGGCGCTGTTTATATCCTGTGAAACTGAAGTGATAAAATGCTCATAGCTTTCGATTTCTTAGACTACTGATAATTGGCACCATTCCGGTCTCCAATCAACTCTATGGTTAGCTGGCAGAAACCCCCGGCTGCATTCTCAGGTTCCCCTGATGGCACGAGACTGCACGAGAAGGCCGTGGAAGGCAGCGGGGGAGGGGGCATCTTTTTCCGCTGATTGTAAAAGAAATCCTGCAGCTAATTAGCCACTAGGATTGCTTTTACATGAAAGCCGATCGCCAGCTGAAAAAAAAAAAAACGATACCAGGATGATGCCTGCAACTGCAGGCATCATCCTGGTATAACCACTCAAAGTCCAGTGATCTACCAGCATGTTGCTGATTCTAGTTGGGTGGGTGTATATGCTATGTTCTTTTTTTTCTTATTATAAAATATATATGCCGAAGCATAGAGGCCATCCACCCACTGGCCACCCCAGGCCCCCATGGTTCGGCATATATGCTCTTACTTACTCTTTAACTGCGGATGAAAAATCTCATCCAACAGCGCTGCACACACCTACTTATGTATATTCTGAGAGCAAGCCCCTGTCTCTGTCAGAATAAACAAGTCGGTGCTGCAGCTTAATGACATTCTCACTTCTCAAGCAGGCTTTTTCCCCTAAAATGGGTATTTACACATCGTTGGGGGAAGCCCCGGCGATTAGGTCGCACGGTGCCACATGCGTAGATTCCAAGATTGTCTAGATAGTGGAACGCTTGAATAAAAATTGTCCACGTATGAGTGGTACCCATATGGAAAAAGGATGACACCAAGTTCCAAACTATCTTGCCACTGCTCCCCATGTAGTCTGGGCATCAGGGGCGTCTACGTGACTATCTTTTCCCTCATAAATCCGAAACTTATATGTATAGCCTGTTGCCCTCTCACAGTTCTTATATATCTTGACCCCATATCTAGCACCCTTGCTGGGGAGAAATTGTTTGAATGCAAGGCGGCCAGAAAAATTAATGAGTGACACATCAATGCAGATGTTTTGCTGGGGAGTAGACATCTGCTAATTTTTGGATAAGGTGATTTACGAGGGGCCGAATTTTGTGGAGCCGGTCAAATTCAGGGTCACCCAGAGGACGACAGAGTGTGTGGTCATTGAAATGCATGGAACACATTATACTCTCATATCTATGCCTGGCCATGGCAGCAGAGAACACGAGCATATGATGAATCAGGTCTGTGGACCAATACAACTGCAATTAATTTTAGTAATGCCCATGTTGAGGGTTAGGTCCAAAAAAAATGTAAATTTGGAAACCGTAATGGGTTTCCATGCAAATGGTCTGGCAGGGGTTGAACTTGGGTTGGCAGCGATAAACTGTTGTGCATATAAGTTGCTTTGATCCACAATCAATGCATACAGATCTGTGAAAAAAAAGCTCCAAAATATCAAGGGGAGTATTTAAATTTGCTGTTTCCACCTGTTTTCCAGGTTGGGCAGTGAATGGGGGGGGGGGGGGGGGGGGGGGGGGGAAGGACGGGTGCTGCAGAATTTGTGGGCTAACAATCAGGATTTGCAAGGACATCCGGAAGGATACTAGGAGCTCTACGGGATTGTGTATGAATTTTTGGTGGCTGCGGGACAATACTTGTGCTCGCCACCACACCAGCTTGTACTGCATTCATGGGATTCGCCACATCACCAAGTGATACTGCAGTGCTGATTTGTGAAAGATCAGGATGTACTAGGCCCCTGGTGCTCGCCAGTTCACCAAAAGGTAAAGTGGCACTAGAACTGGCACTCTGCTGCATAGGAGAGTCATCATGTGATTGTAACATCTCAGCAACCTGGGAACGGGGTTGGGTAAACCTGATCTTAGCAAGGACCTCTTCTCCATTGTCTGAGCTATTAGGGTGCCGCTGCTGTCTACAGGTTCGTATTCTGAGACTGATTGTGTCAGTAAGTCTTCCCCTCGCTCTCATCTGACATGCTCAGAATCCTGCAGGCCTCTTCACTAGAGTACCTTTCCATTTACATTTTGGTCACTGAATTTATAGGTATTCAAGGGAAAAAAAGAGCACCTGGTTGTCATGGACTGCTTGAACTGCTACAAAAAAAATTTACCGGCAAGTGCTAACAGAGATCAGGCCTGATTCTGCAAAAACTGCAGTTTTGTATGCAATATATCAAGTGACAGTGACCTACTGACACTGCACTTGCTGGGGGAGAAAGGGGGGGGGGGGTAAGCGTAGGGGCTAAACTCAGGTGCTGGTAGGTACCGGGGCTGATCCCAATAATGCTGCATTTTTGGGGCACTATACTAATGTGAACGCTGGTATAGTGCTGATCTGATCAAAGATATTGATCCGTTCAGATACTATACTAGCAATGGAGGTTTGTTGTGTATGTAAGCGTGTTCCTGGCAATCAAGGGGTTAAATGTGATTACTGGTGTACATATGTATATGTGTGTGTGATTTTGCGCACCCGTGCCACCCTGTAGCAGTATTTCTACTATAGGGCAACGCGGGGGACTGAGTGATTAAACATGTGCAGTAAAAAATTTTTTTTTTTTTTTTAAATATAATTTCATCATAAATTTAGGCCAAAATTTATTCTACGACATGACAAAAAAAAAAAACCCAATATGTGTAAATGAATTGGATTATGTGAAAGTTCTAGCTGTTATAAATGGCGGTATAGCTACTGTAATTTTTTTTTTTTTTTACCAACAATGGCGGCGAATCAGCAACTTATAGCGGGACTGCGGCAGGCATTCTGACACTGGGGAAACTGACTTGGTGTCACTGACATCCCCAGTGACACCAATACAGTGATCAGTGCTAAAAAAAAGCACTGACACTGTACTAATAGCACTGGGCACGAAGGGGTTAACATGAGGGGTGATCAAAGGGTTAACTGTGTGCTGGGATTGGTTTACTATGG